GAAGGGGTACACACTGTGCTTTGGGAAACGTATGCTCCTTAAGTATTTCAAAAGGAAGATAATGCACCCATGCCAGACATCAGAGCAATTGAGAAGTAACTATGCCTTTTACTCACAGATATATCAGCAATTAAGCATGGTAGTTATCCCCTAGTAGTTTCTCTAGTTATGTCGTAAAAGGAGTAGTTCAAACTTACGAGACAAATTCTCAGTGTCTTCATCAAGCTTCCTGGTGTTCAAAGATGTACTACTTGAGGCAGCCTTGTTTGAGCCCGCATTAGCTGCATCACAATATAGGTATCGTGAGAACAATTTATCACTATAAGCAAATTCCATGAGGATACAAAAGCAGGAACATGTGACTTGACAACAGTAAAGGGGGAACAAAGCATCTGAATGTTTCAACTGATAAGTGAGCCAAAAAAATAAAATAAAATAAGAAGAACTAAGCCAGAAAGAGAACACTCCAAACAGTTAATTGTGTTCACACTTGAATGAACCCTTGTTTACAGAAGTTTCCCCGCTAACAATGATGTTTCTATCTTTTAGCAATTCACCAATCTCGAAATTTACATGAAAGTACGTCAAATAAGACCAAAACTTATATAGGTGCAATTCTGGTATAAGACTCTAATAATAATAAGAAACGACATGAACTGCTCAAGTGAGAAGGAATTCCAAGAGAGCTCCAGTTGGCAAATTCAACGTTCAAATGAAGAAATTAGCCAACTTCAGTTATAATTTGAAAGGAATTTCTTTATAGAAAAAAAAATACTTGAAAGGATTTTAACATATTACCACTTTCTAACTTTTCCTGCTTTCTGTTTTCCTAGTAGCAAATATTGGAACAATAAACTCTGAATACAGAATTTACTCTACCAGCACACCGGGATAATGATATAAATGTCAATCGACACAAACTTAAGCAGTAAATGCATGTTTAGTATTTGCAAAGGTAGTCTGAACGACTGACATTCAGGAAAAATCGATCACGTTAAGTATAAAATGCACCTAAAGCAGAGCATTTATTCTAAAATACCGCCAAGATTAGCATAATCAAAACTATTTTTGATACAGATTATAGTCATAGATAAACTGACATTAGCAATCATAAGCACAAGAAACAAATTGATCATGGATAAACTGACATATGCAGAAATCAGCTGATAATCTAACATTCAATAAGGACAGAAAGAGAAGTAGCATACACACGTCATTATACAGGTAGGCAAATTAAAGTAACAAAATTGCAAGAAATAGCTACACACAGACTAATAACAACTACAATTACACCTTAATCCCAAACTAGTTGAAGTCGGCTATACGAATCCTCCATGTCCATTAAGTTATACACATACTATCAGAAAAAAAGAGAGAAAATCAAGCAATACAAAATAAGAGTTAGAGATGAAAACAAGTAATTGAGCCAATTGTGAAACAGACTAATGATTACAACTACAACTACACCTCAATTCCAAAATAGCTGAGTTAGTTGGGTACTTGAATTAAAAAGGGACTTTTGAGTCTTTTATTGAAGCGACTCAAGTTTTTTCTTTTCTTTTTTTGTTTGTTGGCTAGAAGTGACTCTTTCGAGATTAGTGTTAATGACACATTTTAAAAGCCTCCAAAGTTTTCTTATTTACAAAATAAGAAAAGAGCTAGAGATGATAAGATGAACACAACCTAACAACAACTACACTACAGTCTCAAACTAGTTGAGGTGAATTCTCCAATTTTCCTTATCAATTCACTGAATACCAAAAAAAGGAGACAGAGAAACAAGCAATACAAAACGAGCTAGGGATAGGGATAGTCAGAGTGATTTTTAATTTGAAAAAATGAGTTCAGAAATCTTACTTTACAAAAACAGCTCAACAAACACTTATTACAAAAAGTATTACTACTATGCAATGGTAAGAAGAGGAAAGCGTGTTAAGAGAGAAGAGAGATGAAAAAATAAGGTACATTTTTTGACAGTTTCGATCTCAGCGCCGGAGCGACGGGCGGCGTTGACGGCTTTCTCGTCCTTGCGAGCGGCGGCGGTAGGCGCTTTCTTCCGGATTACGACGGGTTCCCAATCTTGTGCTATTCCGCTCATCGTTTTTTCTTCTTTGAAAATATCTCTAATCTGTCGCTGGATTTTTTGTTTTTTGGCTTCTTCTCTTAAGACTTATATAGGAACCCGGCCGTCTAATTTGACGTGACACTATTCATATAATCAAAAATTAAGAAACTAATTTGATATTGTATATTAAAATAGTTTGATTAGAAGTAGTAGTAAAAATTTAGTTTAGAAGACAAATATCGAAAAGTAAAATTTGATTTGTGAAACAGTGTTTATTAATATTAAGATTTTTGAATTAAAACACACATTTAATTAAGTAAACAACAATAACATGCTCGTGTAACCTGAAATTTGTGGAGGGTAATATTTATCTTTAATCCTACCATGTGGAGCTATAGAGATTATTTTTAATAAACCCTCGGCTAAATGAATGCATGAGCGAAACAATAATGAATAAGAAAAAACGGTAGTGTAGAAGCCATAAATAAGAAATAAAGTAATAACAACAAGATAATAAGATGACTGTGTATCTGGACGTGAATACTAGATAATTTCTAAAAAGTTAAAAGCATTTTTTTGGGCTAACATCAAAAAATGTTTTTGAGTAAAAGTATTTTTTTTATCTGTTAAGAAGAAGTAATAAATTTCTGTAGAAAATTAATTTTTATTAAAAAATTATATTTACCAAACAACCTCTCAAAACCTTATATTTACAAACAACTTCTTTAATTTCTTCTCGTAGTTGCCTTTAAGGACTTTCTGGTTGCGAGGTTTCTTTCTACTTCCGACCGTCTAATTTGACTTGACACCATTCATATAATTATAGGAAAATTAAGACACTAATTGATTTGTACGTCAAGATTATTTTTTTCGTTGTAAAAATTCATTTTGAAGAAATAAATCAATAACTAAACTTTGATTAGGTAAATAGATTAAACCCCATTTGGTTTTATTAAGATTAAGATGTTTAAACTCGAGTAGGAAGGAAAATTAAAGATAACTTATATTACCGACCCCAACTACTTTAGGATTGAAGGGCAATTGATTGATTGATCGATCCATCAGAAGACCCGAATCCTCAATCCGTATTTTTTCCATAAAAAATAGAAGAATTGGTGTGAATCGATTCTACATTGAATATTCATTGATCAAATCACACACCTTCCCAAATTCGACTTCTTTCCCCGGAACAGCAGCAGGAAGAGTGGACTTGCCCAGCGAGGGCCGAGACCAATGCTATCAATAAGGGGTGAAATTCAAAAATAGTCAGATTTACAAGTGGTAATTAAAAAATAGTCACAGTTTCAAAAGTAATCGAAATTTAGCCACGTTTCATGTAAAGATAAATCTGAATGAAAAAACTGTTCAAAATCCGAAAAATATTCCAGCATAATATACTGGAGTTCGAATTTTTTATTTGTGAACTTCCAGCATAGAAGTTCATACACAGGTGCTCCAATCTCCAGTATATTATGCTGGAACTTTCCGTGTGCTAGAGTTCCAGCATAATATGCTAGAAGTTCATACACAGGTGCACCTAAGGCTGGCAAGTGGACCGGTCCAGGCCCGGGACCGCGGGCCAAACGGGCTAAACGGACCAGGACCGTTAGGCCCGATTTTAGTGGGCCTGGGCCGGTCTCGTGGGCCGGTGCTATGCTTTGCGCCAGCCAGGCCCGAGACCATTTGGCTCGCCAGGGACTGGCCCGGGACCGGACCGGTCCCTTAGCGGGCCAAACGGCTATATTTAAAAAAAAAGATTTTTAAAAAAAAATATATATATATATATATATAAC